CGTGTGTGTCTTTCTCTCTGTCTCTCTGTCTCTGTCTTTTTGTGTGTACGTGTGTGTGTCTCTTTCTGTCTCTGTCTTTGTGTGTGTGTGTGTGTCTTTCTCTTTCTCTCTGTCTCTGTCTTTTGTGTGTGTCTCTCTGTGTCACTGTCTTTGTGTGTGTGTGCCTTTATCTCTTTCTGTCTCTCTTTCTTTGCCTCTCTGTCTGTCTCTCTATGTGTGTGTGTCTCTCTCTCCCTCCCTCTCTCCTCCATCTCTTTCTCTCTCTCTCTGTCTTTCTCTCTGTGTGTCTCTCTGTCTTTCTCTCTCTGTCTCTCTCTCTCTGTGTTTCTGTGTGTGTCTCTTTTTCTCTCTCTCTTTCTCCCTCCCTCTCTCTGTCTCTTTCTATCTCTCTCTCTGTCTCCCTCCCTCTCTCTGTGTGTGTCTCTCTCCCCCCCCCTCTGTCTCTCTCTCTGTCTCTCTCTCTCTGTGTGTGTGTGTCTCTAAGTTTATCTGTTGTATTATGGTTTGATATTGGTCTCCTGTAAAAGACGTGAAACCGGTAAGAAAACTTTAGAACTGGATATTTCCGGACCGTTAAAACGTGCACGACATGGACTGTTTATTGGACTGTGCTACTCCTTCAAGTAAACATTAATGCAACTTGTTCACCTCTGAGTTTATTCATAACTGTTATAGATTTAGTAAATAGTTAGTATATTTATCCTTAACTGTTCCCGTAAACCGTTTCCGTCTGTGTGCATATCCTTTTAATACAAGGTTTATAGTCCGCACATAACCTAACACTTGCCCTTCCCACCATATCATCTCACCCAACCTTGGTCTGGGCCTCCACCTTGGAAGTCTGATTTAAAGGTAGTCCTCGACTTAACGACGCTTCGTATCGCGACCATTCAAAGTGACACCACTGAAAAAGGCGACCGAGGACCGTTTTTTTCCACGCTTACGACCGTTGGTGGGTCCTGTCGTAAAAATTCCGGCGCTTCGGATGGATGACCATGGGCTGGGTCCCAAGGTCAGGCGGCCTTGGGAGCAAAGCGACATCCGGGGAGCGGGGGGAAAGCAAGATTGACTTAACAATCGGGGTTACTAGCTTCACTTCAGCACGGGAAAGGTCGTCCAATGAGGGCCCCCGCTGCCATTTCGGCCTCCATTTGTGGTCGTTAAGTCGAGGACTCCCTGTATAGGTAAGGGAAAGGGGAAAGGTTCCCCTCGCACATCCATGTTCGTTGTTCCCGTCTCTAAAGGGCGGCCCCTCGTCTCCGGGACAACTCCGAAAAGCCGGCGTTGTCCAAAGACGTCTCCGTGGTCCTGTGGTTAGCGGGACTAAATGTTGCCGAAGACGCCGCTAACGCTGTTTCCTTTCCCACCAAAAGTCACCCCTGTTTTTCTACTTTTCGAACTGCTACGTCCGCAGAAGCCAGACGTAGGAACGTCCGGACGAGGAAACGGGATCTCCCTCCGTGACATGGCGGTGGGGATTTGAACCGCCCAAACCTGCCCAACCTTTCTGATCTTAGCCGCCGAGCCACCTGCATATATATATATATCTAGCTCCCCGTTTACGAAATTCATCTAAAAATTCGCTTCTCCCGAAAGGTCCTAATCGAGGGCGCCCACGGTCCCGCACGGCCAACGCCGCGGAGCGTCTACTCACAGTTCAGGGCCACGTTGGAGAGTCCCTGGAAGAAGGCGATGCCCAGGCCCAGGTTCATGTTGAGGCGGCTGGAAATGTCCACTTCCGCGGCGTATTCTCTGCGAGGGGAGAGAAGGGAGGAAACGCACAACTCTCGGGCTGGGGTCACAGCACGGCCGACACCCAGGAGGGCGTCCAAGGTTGAAGACCGGGTGGACTTCCGACCTCCCAGAATTCCCCCACGCCCCCCCGGCCAGCAACGGGTTTCAAAATGGATAGGACGGGAAAAAGAAGCATTGTCGATAAACCGCTTTACCGCGTTAAGAGGGCAACTTTATCAGTAGATGATGGGTGCGCAATGAATGTATTATATCACATTTTTTTTTGGATAGGAATTAGCCGATTACGGACATGCAGTAAACGTAACATATGACATACTTTTGATTAAGGTAACTTCACGAATAGATTGTGGGTATGCCGTAAACGTGCTATATCTCGATTTCGAGAGAGTGAGGAAAAAAAATGGCTGGCTGGGGAAATCACGGGAGTTGGACACCCACCCATCTCGCAGTTAAAAGCGTCCTTAAAAGGAGCACGGACGTTTCTCCTTTGCGGTTACTCACTGGAGCTCTTTGGGTTCCATGGAAAAGGCCCGCACCGTCCGGACGTTCCCCAAGGCCTCGTCGGCCACCGCTGTAGCCTTGGACACCTGCCGGCGAAAGGAAGGAAGGAAGGAAAGAAGGGAAAATAAACTCGGGGACTGGCTGAGCACGAGCGTCGGATGAAGAACGTGGCAAACGTTATCGCCGTTTGAAGATGAAGAGTGGGGCCACCGCGGTGTTTTTACTACTTTAAGAGGCATTTATACAAGGCAGTCATTAGAGGATGCGTTTTTCTCTCCTTGGGTCCGGTCTCCATTGCAGAGTTTTCCGTGTAGAGTGAAGAAGATCGATTGCTTGTCAGGTATTTTGCCCACCGGGGATATTTCCGTCGACGTCTTGTAGATAAAGCACTGTTCAATCTCTCGCTCTGCGCTGCGTTTTACTCCTGGGTTACGTCGTCCCACTATTGAGGATCCCGACATTGAGGATTGATGCGCTCCATTCTCCCATTGGTCGGTGGGTGCGTGGGTGGGTGGGTTTTACGGGGATTGCAAATCCTCGGATATCGTGGCATTTCCCCCTTTGGCGGCCCTTCGACAAACTCACTCCGCCCCCCAAGTTCCCAACTTCCCCTAACGCCTGTACGAGAGAGTGAGTTTGTACAACGGGCCAAAACTCGCTTCAACCAAACGTCTCGCTGAACAATTGGAAATGGGGGGGGGATCGAATTGTGGCCGTTAAGTCAAGGACCGCCCGTAGATTCAGCGCTTAGTCCAAAGATAGAAGGACTAGGAAAATGGTGGCTATGCGGCGAACATAATATATCAAATTTTTTTGATAGGAAATGTGATTAGTAGATGGTGAGTATGTGGTGAACATAATATATCTTTTTTTTTTAATGGGGAAACGTGATTAGTAGATGGTGAGTATGCATCGAACATAATATATCCATTATTTTTGATAGGGAAACGTGATTAGTAGCTGGTGAGTATGCGGTGAACGTAATATATCCATTGTTTTTGATGGGGAAACGTGATTAGTAGATGGTGGGTACGCGGCAAACATAATATATCCATTTTTTTGATGAGGAAACGTGATTAGTAGATGGTGAGTATGCAGCAAACATAATGTATCAATTTTTTTTGATGGGGAAATGTGATTAGTAGCTGGTGAGTATGCGGTGAACATAATGTATCATTTTTTTTTTGATGGGGAAATGGGATTAGTAGATGGTGAGTATGCGGTAAACATAATATATCAATTTTTTTTGATGGGGAAACGTGATTAGTAGATGGTGAGTATGCAGCGAACGTAATATATCAATTGTTTTGGTTGGGGAAACGTGATTAGTAGCTGGTGAGTATGCGGCGAACATAATATATCAATTTTTTTTGATGGGGAAACATGATTAGTATCGTTCACACAGGTGATTTTTCCCTACCTGTTCTTGGGCTTTCCGGGAGAGCCGACGAAGCGAGGTGCCGAGAAAGGTCCCGATGCCCACCAGGAAGGGCATCACCACTACAAGGAGCCCGGTCAACTTGGGGGAAATCAGGTAAAGGGACACAAAGCAGCCCACTGTCTGGGTGAGACTGCGCAGACCCTACAAAGGGGAAGAATTGACTCAGTGGAGAAGAGAAACGGGGGCATGAAAAGAGACTCCACGTTAAAGAGGGAAAGGAAACACACACACCCCAGACCTCCGTCCGCGCGAGTTCCCGACGTTGAGGATTGATGCGCTCCATTCCCCCATTGGTCGGTGGGTGGGTGGGTTTTACAGGGATTCAGACAGACATAGGGGGTCTTAAATCAGGAGTAGATTTGCCCCCCCCCCACTTCCCCTGAACCTTCCACCCTCTGCCCCGTCATAAGCCAAACCTGCGAGATGACCAGCTTGAAAGAAGATTTGAATTCCTGGATGTCGGCGGTCAGGCGGTTGACCAGGTGGCCCGTCTGGTGGGCATCGAAGAAGGCTATATCTTCCCTTGGGGAAAAGGAGAGAACCAGGGTTAGGAGGAGCGGGAGGCTCCGAGGGGCCTTCTAACTCCGGGGTTCTCTCTCTCTCTGGGTCTCCCGCTTTGAGCGGGCAGGTTGGATTAGATGACCTCGGAGGTCCCTTCCGGAGCCTGATTCAATGCAGTCACCTCTGGAGCTGGCCCAGCCCCCCCCCCCCGCAGTTTCATCTCGCCGTTACCGGAGGAAGGATGAGAAAAGTTGCTTCCGCATACTGCCGGCTACCTTCTCCCCGATCCAGGACAACAGCAGGATGTAGCCGAAGGTTAACACGCCCTGCGGCCACAGAGGAGGAGGAGGAGGAGGAAAAAAAAGAGAGTTGCGTGTCACCATCTGGAGCTGTGCGCCTGCCAACTCCGACGTTGAGCATTGATACGCTCCACTCCGTTGGTTGGTGGGTGGGTTGGCGGAGATTCGGACAGAGGTAGAATCCCGATGTTGAGGATTGATGCGCTCCATTCCCCCATTGGTTGGTGGGTGGGTGGGTTTTACGGGGATTCAGACGTAGAATCCCGATGTTGAGGATAGATGCGCTCTACTCCCCCGTTGGTTGGTGGGTGGGTTTTACGGGGATTCAGACAGACATAGAATCCTGACATTGAGGAATGATGCGCTCCATTCTCCCATTGGTCGGTGGGTGGGCAGGTGGGTTTTACAGGGATTCAGACATAGAATCCCGACGTTGAGGATTGATGCGTTGCACTCCCCCGTTGTTTGGTGGGTGGATGGGTTTTACGGGGATTCAGGCATACAATCCCGATGTTGAGGATTGATGCGCTCTATTCCCCCATTGGTCAGTGGGTGAGTGGGTGGGTTTCACGGGGATTCTGACATAGAATCCCGACATTGAGGATTGATGTGCTCCAATCCCCTGTTCGTCGGTGGGTGTGTGGGTGGGGTTTACGGGGATTCTGACATAGAATCCCGACGTTGAGGATTGATGCGCTCTACTTCCCCATTGGTTGGTGTGTTGGTGGGTGGGTGGGGTTTACGGGAATTCAGACATAGAATTCCGATGTTGAGGAGGATTGATGCGCTCCACTCCCCCATTGGTCGGTGGGTGGGTGAGTGGGTTTTACGGGGATGCTGACCCGAACTCCAAATCCCAGCCCGTGGTTCGAAAGGAAGGTGGGAAGACGACAATCACCTGGAGGCCGTATATGGTCAGCAGGCGCAAGGCTGGCTCGCGCACCATGCGCAGGTAATCGCCCACCCGCATGTGCTTGGCCACCACGTTCACCATCTGGCCCAGCAGCAAGGGGATGTGGATGTTGAGCATGGCCGCTCCGAGGGCAAACTGGAGGACCAGAAAGAGAAAGGCTTGGAAAAAAAACTCGCTGGTTCGAGGAGCGCCGGGAGCTGGACGTGTCCGGCAAGCCAGCACAAAAAAAAAGCTCCTATGATCTTTGGTTGCATAAATATTTCCTTCCTTCCTTTCTTCCTTCTCTTTCCTTCCATCTTTCTCCTTCCTTCCTTCTCCTATTCCTTCCATCTTCCTTCTTTCTCCTGACTTCTCTCCATCTTCCTTTTTTCTCCTTCCTTCCTTCTCCCATTCCTTTCTTCTCATTCCTCCCCTCCTTTTCCATTTCTTCCACCTTTCCCCTTCCTTCTTTCCTTCTCCCATTGCTTCAATTTTTTCCCTTCTTCCTTCCTTCTATCTTTCCCCTTCCTTCCCCTTCCTGCTCCCATTCCAACGTTCGTCTTTCTTGCTTCCTTCTCCCATTCCTTCCATCTGCCTTCCTTCTCTCCTTCATCTTTTTTCTTCCTTCTCCTGTTCCATCTCCTTCCTTCTTTCTCCCATTCCATCAGCCTTCCTTTTCTTTCCTTCCTTTTCCCATTACTTCCTTCTATTCTTTCCTTTTTCCTTCTTTCCTTTTCCATTTTTTCCATCTTTCTTTCCTTCCCTCCTTCTCCCATTCCTTCCTCCTTCCTTTTTTCATTTCACCTTTCTCCTTCCTTCCCTCCTTCTCCCATTCCTTCCTTCTATTCCTTCCTTTCGTTCCTTCCTCCCATTCTCTTTCTTTGTTCCTTCCTTGCTTCCTTCCTTTCTCTTTCTTTGTTCTTTCCTTCCTTCCTCCCATTCACTTTCTATGTTCCTTCCTTCCTTCCTCCCTCCCCCCTCCTCCCTCCCTTATTTCCTTCCCTCCTTTTCCCATTCCTTCTTTCTATTCCTTCCTTCCTTCCTTCTATTCACTTTCTTTGTTCCTTCCTTCCTTCCTCCCAGCCTCCCATTCTTTCTTTCTTCCTTCCTTCCTTCTCCATTTCTTCCACCTTTCTCCTTCCTTCCCTCCTTTACCC